TTTCCAGCTATGGTCCTAATTCTGCCCTTGAACTATCCTCCAGACATATGCTGTGTCTACTGCATCAAGCACTATCCCTGCTTTATTGCTCTTCAATGTAACCCCTCGTATCTATAATTCTTTCTGGTGATCTCCTACTATTTATTCAAATATAGTTTATGTGTAAGTTCATCAGGCATAGTTCTCCTGCTCCCCAACCCCCCAAATCAAGGCCCCTTTATGTTCCTTCATAAAAACAACTGTAATTATAATTAAATGATCATTTTTACAATGTGGGCCTCCCTCACCAGTTTGGCAGCTCTACTGGAGCCTGTCTTGTTCCCTGTTGTCTCCCTACATCTAGCTTGATAAATACTGAGTTGGATGAAGATGCTCAGGACTCATCATTATACAGCTGAACCCCTGGAATGAACAACTTCACCCACAGAGTGTAACTGTAATAAAGAAAATGAGGCTAAGGGCTTAATTCTTAAAAACATACAGTTAGAGGTTGATAGGAGAAGAAGAAACCATCCAAGGTCTATACAAAAGTGCACTTCTCAAGAGCATTCATCACAGTCTGCTTCCTTTTCCCTTTTTTGCTTTTGTCCTTAATAACTAATGAATTCCAATCTACCCAGATTTATACACAGTAGGTGTCTTATAACAAATGCACATTAACTTAAGCTGTTTCAATCTACATAAAATTTACTACTATGCACATAAAGAAAAAAATGTAATAGAATTATTCTGTTTGATAAAATGGTTTTCCTACTAATTCTTCAAAAAGAAAAATAAAAGAGAGTGACTTCTTGTTTTGACTTTTATTCTTTTGGTAGAAGCTTTCCATTGGAGCCACTGGGAAAACCACGGAGAATCCCTTGAAGTACAGGCCCACATGACACATCAAGGCACCAAATTCTCATCTTTGAAATTTATAAACCAAATTCCATAAAAATTTCATATGATTTGTTCCATATGGGCATGGGATGCACTGTAAACTTGATGACACATGAATGTAACATTATACTATTACTGATACCATAGTGTGAAACCTGTTTTCTACATATTCTTTAACATTTTTGATGCAAGATCAGTGAGAAATTGAGTATATATTAACAACAATATGAAATCTTAGTATAGAAAAATATTTTGAAAGCTCACATCAACTCTTTCACATTTTACAGATAAGGAATCTTAATCCCAGAGATTACAGGTCCCAGAAAGCCCTACATTTAACAAACTTTTGAACCAGTTTTATAAACCTATCTAGCTTTCTTTGTTGCATGCCATCCTGAAGAAAAAAAGACAATCTTGTACTCAACCCTTCCTCAAAAACACAAAACTGGTAGATTAAAAATACAAGTAACTGAGAGTAATTTTTAAAAAATATTTTAATTATTTATTTGTCAGAGAGAGAGAGCGAGAGAGCATACGAGCAGGGTGAGGGGCAGAGGGAGAAGCAGGGAGCCAGATGTGGGACTTGATCCCAAGACTGAGCTGAAGGCAGATGCTTAACCAACGACTGAGCCACCCAGGCATCCCAACTATGAGTACTTTTAAATACTGCCTTCTAATGATCATTGCCGTCAATATAAATTCTATAATTAATTCCCTTTGTCTAGTCCCAAATGGATGGCATGTCATGTGTATTATTAACAAGCAAATCAAAACACATCAACATACAGGAGAGTGAATTTCCAATAGAACAAAACTCTCCCACGCTGACATTTTCGTGGGCATTTGCAAAAGTATTGGGAAAAAAAAAAAAAGATAACAAAACAACATGTATATTTTATTTAAATAAATAAATTTTTTAAGCTGAGGAAGTATGATTATTCATTCAATTGTGGGTATAAATATCCTAAAAATATCCATAACCAGTAAGTTGATGGAGAACTGATAGGAATCATATTATGTATCTCCTTGGACAAGAAGTAATAAAAATGCTAATGGAACAACCTTTTGGTCTATTTTGGAAACTACATTCAAGTCTAAAATGGAGAACATCTCTAACTGAGCTCAACCAACACTTATTGCACATTACTGTGTATAGGACAATATGCTAGATATTGATGTGCAAAAATGGAAATTAGGGTCTCTCCATTCTCAATTGTCTTAGATATTTTTTTTCTTAGATATTTCTAAAGAAGGTAAGTGTATTCTTTCAACAAAATATTTACATTTCCACAACCATTCCCAAGTCTAATCTATCTTCTCTTGACTAAAACACAGCAAAAGTTCCCCTAGACCTTTCCCTAATCCTGTCTTCTCCACACGGTCCCCTCCTTTGCCCTAGGAAGAAAATGCAAACTCCTTAGCTTGGTGGATAAAACCCCACAGGCTCTGCTCTGCTTTCTCTCCAGTCTCATCTCCTCCCACTTTCCAATCTGGTTCAATATGATCCAGTCATATTGGCTTTCCTTCTCTGCTGTGAACACAAGCTTGTTCTTGCCTTTGGCCTTTGAACTTTGTTTCTTCTATCTGAAATGCCCTTACCTGGCTCTTCAAATAGCTAGTTCACACATACAGATTTCAAACATCACCTTTTCACAGATGTTCTCCTTGACTCCTTGCTGCCAAGAAGCACCCCACTTCTCCCACATCACCTTCTTAAAATGACATCACACTATTTATTTCATACATAGCACTACTCACTTTCTGAAAATAGAATGGTACCTCACACCATCAGACACGTTGTATACACATTAAGGTGGATAAAAGTCCTTCCCTAAACTTTTTAAGCTGAGTTATAATTATATGCATTTAACATTCTAAAACTGCATAGAAGGACCTACTAATTGAAAATACCTACTTACCTACCTGCATATCTGCTTGGTTATCTCCCCATGTTGTGAGAGAAATGGAACATACATTAGAGAAGAAAAGTCTATGGCAGTAATCAAGAGACCCAAAGGTTAGTTACTTTTAACTAACTTGGGCTAGCCAATTTCATTTCTCTAGGCTTTGGTGTTTAGGCTTTACAAGAGAGGGATTATATCAGAGCATTTTAAGGAACCTTCCAGTTCTAAAATTTAGTCATTTGAAGTAGATTTTTCCCAAATTAAATGTACATTTTTTAGATCATAAGCACACTCAGACAGGAATATCAAGCACTCAGTTATGGGCTTCCTGTCCATTTGTAGGTTATTTTGTCTTAACTACCACTTCTTGATGCTTTATCCCGAATCTTTTTCATTTCCTATTCCAGAATGGGAAAAAGAACTGAAACTATTTCATAAAATTATAGGACATTATGTACTCATTCCTCCCATTAAAAATACACATATTTTTAGTAGTGTATATACACTAGAAACTTTAAAATAATCCAGGAGTGCTAAGAAGAGTCCATTTTTACACATACAGTTACAGAATGCGCATTATCACTATTTTCAAGTAACCTTTACAATAAAGGATTTGTTACACTTTCTGTTAAAACTAAATCCAAAAATTTCTCACTAATACCAAAACTGGAAAAAAAAAAATCAGGAGGATGATGTCGTAGAAAAAAATAATAAAACAGAAGTGGATAAATACAGATAATTCATAATAATGAGGAGGCAAACTCTTAAAACGAACACAACAATGCTTTTTTCCCTTTGCAATTCCAATGAACCAATATGGAAATGTAAAGGAATCGACTATGAAAAACCTAAAGCATATAATAAAATTATGGGAACAAGATTAGGAGATTATTAACTGGAACTAGTTTGAGGTAAAGGAAGCATAGAAGGCAAGATCGGGGGAAAAAATTCTACTTCAAAAGATGCAATAAGAAGCACTCAGGGAAAATAATCATGGACCTACTTTAATGCACAGTAGGGGTGCCCAAAATAGTATGCATGAGAAAATCTAATTTAAAATAGTTCATATGAGAAATCCTGTAAAAATAAAATAAATTCTGCAGCAAACTTAAATTAGTTGACTGCCAACCCAACATGCAATAACTCTGCATCGTGAAACAAAATCTGGACTAGTTATGCAACAGCCCATGTGAAATTATAGGCTGCGTTATGCTGGAAAGATAAAGCATCATGACCCGAGATTTATAAACATATGTCCAAAATGTAAATAAACAAATGGACTTGTGGTTGGTAAAGTGCATCTTCCATTTTATTTTTTCCATTTTCCACACTGACAGCCTCTCACTGAATTTCGTTTTACCAACTGTAAAATGTTAGAAAGAATAACTTTAAGAAGGTTATTAGCTTTATTCCTTCAAGATTTAACCACCATCTATTTTTCAGTTTACTACTGAATAATAACACATCAAAGCCAAGAGCGGTCAAAAAATCATCCCCCACCCCCACCCCGAGGATCAGGAAAATTAAATGCTTTTTGGTTCCTTGAAAGTCATGCCAACTACAAATCTGGTAGAAATAAGTACTCTTACCCAACACCAAACCAACTATATACTTCACCTCATTTACCACATGACTCACTACTAATGACAGAGTGGAGTGTGACAGAATTGTTATGTAAGTTCATTCTGGGCTGATTAAGGCCAAGGCTAACCTGTATGCGAAAGACATCTTTTACACTATTTATGGTTTATCCTTGACCCCAGTCTCAGGTATCTAGAGGCCTGGGTACATTTTTATTTTCCAGCAAGCTAGAACTTGTCGTCAAAATAAAGTTCAAAATGATAGATCAGTGAACAATACATTATCATTTACAAGTATAAGAGAGCTAATATTCTGGTTCCATACCAGGCTTCAGGCAAGGAGCAGGATGCTTTTCTGATGAGCCCTTATTTACACTTCACACTGGACTTGAAAGAGACAATTGTGAAAATGCCTCTCCCCACTGAAGTCCTCTGAAAATTAACTAATGGAAAATGTAATGCATAGCCCTCGATAACATGACTGCTTTGAATGAGAAGCTAAGACTACAGCATGGGGTGAAATCTGGAGCAACGAAGCCCATACCCTCTCAAAATGCTCTTTGCCGGCAAATCCTAAATCTCATACCAACATTAACAGTAAATGTGGGGGACGTGGAAAAAACTATCGACCACTCACCATAATGCATGTAACAGTTTCCTTTCGTGGGATCCAGCTCAATAGCCTTCAAGAAGAATTTTTCAGCCTCACTCTTACGACCCTTAAAAAACAGAGAAAATGGATGATTCAGCAGTAGATCGTGAAGGACCGTTTACCTCCTGGGCCCAAATGAAGTAAGTAGACTCACGCCTACTTAGCAATCATCACACACACACAAAAGTGTTTTTTTTTTTTTTTTAATTTTTAATCTAAACAAGGATGATCAAGGAGAGTATGCTGAGAGACAAGACTGAAGTCAGAATCCTGGGAAACACCAAGATTAGAAGAAAAGACAGTGAGAGTGAGTTCATCAAAGAGATCAGAGAAGAGGCCAGGAAGGCAAGAGAAAAAGTAAAAAAAAGAAAAAAAGGATTTCACAAAAACCAAAAGGATGAGATAGTTTTAAGGAATGGCGGGAAACATCATTTTCATTTTCTATTTTATTATCTCCCTTCTGTTTGTTTCCTCTTCATTTCTTCTTCCTGGTAAAGAATTTGGAGCATTTTGGCTTTTGAGATGATTTTGTCCTAATGGCCCGCTTTACATATGAAGAAGTAGGTCACAGTTTGTTGAATCTCACACAACCGCTGCTTATCTTTCATGACTAAAATACTCCTAAACAAGGATTTAATCTAAAGCTAGTGCTTCTTCCTAGCTATAGTTTTAATTTTAAGTAAATGTTATCATCATCCCCAGAAGAAAATAAGCAAAGCAGGGGGAAAGACTTGTAGGCAATAGACTGGCTTTTCATGAAATAATATGATTCCTGGCAGAACCTAAAACTGTATGCTCTTTACCGTGTTATAGCTTCTGAACTGAAATGGCCTATAGAGTAACACAAAGGGATGGCTTGAGATAGGAGAAGAGCCCCAAGGAGAACTTTCCTGGGGCAAACCTGTCTTGTCCCGTAAGGCTGGAATGAAGAGTTCTGTGGTCTGAGCATCAGCAAGGCACTGGGTGGTGGACATCTCCAGAAGTCATGGTCTAGAGTGAAGAGAACTCATCTGATCTCCTTGCTCCTTCTAACTTATACACTATCTACCACAGCAACTTCAGGCAATGTTTTTCTTTCTTCAGGTATTTTTTTAAACCACTGCTACAGAGATAAATCTTGCAAAGGTACAGGTGTATAATTGACCTACATCCCACCATTCAACTTTGACTCACTTTTCTGTCTACCCCTTCCTTTTTGTTTATTCACTCATTTAAAAAATTCACTGTCCCTACATCCTTTATTCACCATTACTCTCCCCAGTAGGACCCAGCCTACATATAGTTTCTACCGTCTACAGCAGACGGCGGACAACCGACATCTTCATTTCTTCTTCCATTTTACTAATTCTACTCCAGTCAAGTAACTTCTCTTTAACTCACAAGTCTCGCAAAATACCCAATAATTAAAATTTTAATTCCCTGCCATATTTCTCATAACATTTTAACTTCAAAGGAAAGAAAGGAAAGTACAGGCAAAAGGCTCTCCACATATATCATACTTTCATGAAGTTAGTAAGACTTAGCAAGAATCTTACAAAGTTAAGATTCTATAAAATAATTAAATAACTGTACTGAACCAGGCCGAGTAATGTGTAAGTTTGGATCATAGGTTCTAGGCAGGTAGAACAGCTTCCCCATTGGTGTAGCCATGTGACCCTTAGAAAATTATATCATCTCATAGCTGTAGTGTTCTCTATTACATAATTGAAGATAGGTAGAGCACAGAGAATTTCTAGGGCAGTGAAACTATTCTGTAGAATATAGAAATAATGGACACATGTCATTATATATTTGTCAAAACTCATGGACAACACTAATGCAGGTTGATAATGATAGGAAAACTGCGTAGGGTCATAGGAGGGTAAGGGAGTATTTGGGAAATTGCAGCTCAATTTTTTAAAACAACATTTTATTTATTTATTTGCGGGGGGAGTGAGACTGGGGGGTAAAAGCAGAGGGAGAGGGAGAGAGATAATTCCAAGCAGACTCTACACTGACTGCAGAGCATGACCCTATGACCCCAAGATCACAACCTGAGCTGAAATCAAGAGACTGATGCCCAACTGACTGAGCCGCCCCAGGTGCCCCTCGATTCCTTAAATCTGCTCTAAAAATAAAGTGTATTAACTTTAAAAAGAAGATATCAAATCTATTTCATAAGATCAGTAGATTACCTGAGACAAACTTAAAAAGTAGTTATTACCGTAACCTAGGTATAAGTTTGTAATACATGTTAACTATTACATATACACACATACAGTATGCAATAGAACACAGAATTCTAAATGTCAGAGAGTATTTTTTGTTATCTACACAGTCTCAGTAAGATGTGGTCGGCCTCTAAATCACCGTTAGAAAATGATGTACAAAGAACTCACAGAAGATAATTAAAGATACAAAATGAAAACTACCCTCGTAAAGTCTGTACAAATGTTATGTGCAAAGATACAAAGGGTTGCGAACCTTCTTCCATTTAAGTTTTTCAGGATAGAGAAGAAACTGGCTCATTTATCAGTGTCACAGTAAACGGGGTTATAAAATGCTTGTGTGTAGTCCGTTGGCAAAACAATAGTTTGTAGCGCTAAAAACATGCACCAGATCTCAAAGGACAGTGATCTCTGGTTGCTCAGTGGACCAAATTATTAAAGGCAATGAATCCCAACATCTCCTAGATGTAAAATAAACACATCAAAGGCCAGAACAATCTTTTTTGGGGTGGAGGGGAGTACAAATCCATCATGCAAAAACCTATCTTTCTGCTTGGATCACTATTTATTTAGTCAAGTGCCAAATAATGAGGAGGAAAATAAAATCCCCACAAGAATATAAGAAATCAAGTCAACCACATGCATAAACCCACCACACACATGTATTACTGTGTCTTAGGAAGAAAGATGGCACCTGGGAGGTTAATACTATGCTTAATCCAATTTATTCTTTCAACTGTAACTATTTTAGAAAGATGGTAATTAAGGAAGTAGAGAAGAAAAAGTGATTTCTCAGCAGGTTTTTCTTGGTGCTTTTAGGTTTTGTCAGCATTTTCTACAAGCAAGCATCATGGAGTACTTTCTGGTTGTACAAACTCCTTGCATCTAGCACATTACTCATTTCGTATACTGGCTGATGTCTGAGCATGTGGGGTGGTTCAGAAAACCAAGTAAAAGGCACTGTGGTCAGCTGTGACAAATAAGGGAAATGTGAGTTGGGAGGCTCAGTTTCTACCACCATCTCTGTGACTTGTTTATGTGCCTGTTCCTTTGTTTTTGTTGGCTAAAAATTATTTACTGAAGGCCCATTCTTTGCCCTGTACAGCTCTAAGTAATGGGGATGGAACTGTGAACAACACAGCATGCTTGGCCTTGAGTCCTTAGTTGCAAGAAGCACATAACGAACACATAACCCAATAAGCAGGGGTATTAGTTACAGAGCACTGTGGGCAAACAATTTCTCCAATTCTCATTGAAAGAACTGGCCCAGAGACAACAAGCCTGTATTTGAATCTTGCTGAATCTACTTATTTAACAGTGAGAGTGACTTGGAGTATCTTTAGGAACACATCTGAGTCTCTTTTTCCTCATTTGGGAACATAAACATAATTAATACCAATTTGGAGGACTGCTTAAAAAAAAATCACAAGTTGTATGGAAATAACTAGCTTCGGATTTATCATACAAAACTCGGACATTCTTTGATATTTTTTCCTTCTATCTTTTCAAAAGAATCCTTCCTTCCAACTTCAATGCCACTATTTGGTTTTTAATTACCAAAATTTAAAAATCCTTTTCCAAATTTCATGTCATGATAGAAAGTAAAATTTTTTTAAAAAGATTTTATTTATTTATTTGTCAGAGAGAGAGAGCACAAGCAGGGGGAGCAGCAGACAGAGGAAGAAGCAGCTCCCTGCTGAGCAGGAAGCCCAATGTGCGACTGGATCCCCGGACTCTGGGATCATGACCTGACCTGAAGGCAGACACTTAATGGACTGAGCCACCTAGGTGTTCCTAGAAACTAAGTTTCACAATTTTTCTATAAAATGCTTCTCATTCCTGACACTTTCCCCTGCCTTAAGTCAAAGCTCTTCTCATTTTGCCTCTAGAAGGACACAGATTTCAGACGTCCTGACCTAATAAACTTCATTTCATCATATTAATTAATTTCTTAAGTGAAACTGTTTTTAGGTTATGCTCTTGCTCAGGAATATTTTAATAGCTCCTAGTTTCCACACGTTCTGCTTAATAATCAATTTAATTTTCAAAATCTTCCACAATCTAGCTCAAATCTTCCTGGATAAATTCCCCTACCTTATCAGGCCAATTTCCTCATCTGCCTTATCCATAGCTCCTATGTCTTCCCTTAGTTATTTCTTCCAGTCTGTAATTTTGCTCATGTTCTCACTTGTTCATATGCATTTTTTCCCTCAAGCCTTAACTAAACACTCAATTTTCTATAAGGCTTTCTGTGATGGCTCGCAACTGCTAATAATTTCCTTTTTCTCTTAATTGTGATGATATGATTACTTTTAAGAGTTCTTACTAACATGCTAATTATATGACTTGAACTCTAAGATACTAGACCAAGTCCCTTCATATATAAAGTGCTTGGAGAGCGGATATTTAATTTGTACAAAATTGTAATTCTAGGTAGTATTTAGAGTTTGTACATGACCATTCAGTGTACCCACACACAAGTCAGTTAAACAGCAAAAACCCAGTATCCCGGAAAAAGGAGCAGTTGACAATGCAGGTGATTCAGAAGTCAAGGACATAAAACAGCTAGAGAAATTCTTGGCATAGTCCTAGATTAGACACTGTGCAGTGAGTATAGCGTCAGTACTGAAAATTAACCAATTGGACTGTGAGCAGCACAGTGCGATCTGGGAGCAGCGGCTGTGGGATCAGGAGAGTGAGCAGGATTTCCCTGGACAAGGGCAGCATCCATACCCAGGGATTAGGGCTTTGCGAGTATCAATATCCCTACATTATATTTACGTTAGTATATTACTTGTAACACTATACTGAGTATTAAAAACATAGACACAAGATAGCATTATTTAAATTTATGGAAAAA